AGGGTGGAGGGTCGACGAAAGAGGGGGAGGCCTTCAGGGAGATGGATTGATACAGTGGCTGCGATGATGGGCTCAAGTATAGCATGGATTGTGGGGCTGGCGCGGGATCGGGCAGTATTTCGTTCTGCTGTGCATGGGGTCGCTATGAGTCGGAAACGACTCGACGGCACTTAACAACAACAACAACAACATACTCGCTTGAGCTAATCACTGGGGTGGAGATGAGTAAGACTAAATGGAGAAACTACTCCCACACCCCCAGCCCTACCTCCATCTGTCACTTTGTCATACTGTGGAGATTTACCTAAACGAATCACGGTACTCATTAGGACATGCACAGTGTTCTTCAGAGAGTTTCTCAAAGTTCTTCCCAATGAAGTAAATGGAGTAGAAACTTTTACTTTAAAAAAAAAAAAAAAAAAAACACAGATGGAGAGGCGGTTTGCAAACGCTGGAGCAAAGGCCATCCGCCACTGATCACCAGGTGCTGACCCTGCAACAGCCTAAATATAGGTAAAAGGGGATATTAGCATAGTAAATCACACACCCGAGTGGAGATTCAATATTTAATACTATAATGAGACATGCTTTGCATCCCTCACTGCACATGCATTACCTGTAATCATATGATATTGTATGCATAACATGATGTAATTCTCAACCTGTAAAAGCTTAGAGAGAACTTAAAAGCAGACAGAATGAGGGACCCCTCTCTTTGTTTCAACTTGTGCACAAAACTTAATAAAAGCTGTGTTTCTTACTCTTCACCTTGATGTGTCTTTATTGGCTAAAGTAACTCCAGGCAACAGACCCAGAACTTTACAGTGACTTGCATGTTGCTGTGATGCTGAAAGCTATGCCACTGGTATTTCAAATACCAGCAGGTCACCCAAGGTGGACAGGTATCAGTGGAACTTCTAGACTAAGACAGACCAGGAAGAAGGACTTGGCAATCTACTTCTAAAAGGGTTGACTGGTGACAACCTTATGAACAGTAGCAGAACATTACCTGGTATAGTGCCCCAAGATGAGCATCTCTGGTGGGCAGGCACTCAAAATATGACTGATGAAGAGTTGCCTCCTCACAGCAGAGTCAACTTTAATGATGTGGATGGAGTAAAGTTTTCAGGACCTTCACTTGCTGATGTGGCATCATTCAAAATGAGAAAAACTGCTGCAAAGATCCATTAATAACTGTAACATGGAATGTACAAAGTATGAATCTAGGAAAACTGGAAGTTATTAAATATGAAGAACATATAAAGACTGATATAATGAGCTGAAAATCAGACGTGGCTTATTATGCTGGGAATGACAAACTGAAGACAAATAGCATCTCATTCATCATCAAAAAGAACATTTCAAGATCTAGCCTAAAGTACAACACTATCAGTCATAGGAAGACCAGTTAATACTACTAACATTCAAATTACTAATACTTAATACTACTAACGTTCAATTACTAATGCCAAAGATGAATCAATTGAAGATTTCTACCAACTTCTTAAGTCTAAAAGTGATAAAACATAAAATCAAGAAGCACTGATAATTACTGGTGATTGGAATGTGAAAGTTGGAAACAAAGAAGAAGGATCAGTAGTTGGAAAATACTGCCCTGGAGATAGACAGAATTTTGTAAGAAAAATGACTTATTCATTGCAATACCTTTTCCCAAGAAAATAAATAGCAACTTTGCACGTGGATGTTGCCAGATGGAACACACAGGAATCAAATTGACTACATCCGTGGAAACAGAAGATGTAGAAGCTTGACAATGTCAGTCAGAACAAAACCAGAGGCTGACTGTGAAACATCATCAATTACTCATATGACAAGTTCAAGATGAAGCTGAAGAAAATTAAAAGAAGCCCGAGAGCCAAAATATGACCTCGAGTTTATCCCACCTGAATTTAGAAATCATCTCAAGAATAGATTTGACTATTTGTACTTCAGGCTAGCTCTTGAACACTAATGACCAGACAAGTTGTGAGAGGACATCATAGGTGAAGAAAGTAAAAGGTCATTAAAAAGGAAGGAAAGAAAGATCAAAACAGATGTGAAAAAAGACTTTGAAACTTGCTCTTGACCATACACAGTAGCTAAAGCGAATGGAAAAATGAAGTAAAAGAGCTGAATACAAGATTTCAGAATGGCTTGAGAAGACAAAGTAAAGTATTATGAAATATACAACTTGGAGTTAGAAAACCAAAAGAACACACTTGACATTTCTCAGGCTGAAAGAACTGAAGAAAAAAATTCAAGCGTCAAGTGATACTTTTCAAAGATTATATGGGCAAAATATTGCACAATACAAAACAAATCAAAATAAGATGGAAAGAATACACAGTCACTGTACCAAAAAGAATTGGTTGACACTCAACCATTTCAAGAGGTAGCATATGATCAATAACTGATGGTACTGAAGGAAGAAGTCCAAGCTACACTTGAAAGCACTGGCGAGAAACAAGGTTCCAGAATTGATGGAATTGAGATATTCCAGCAAATGGTTGCAATGCTGGAAGCA